TCTTATTCTTTGACCTCTATGGGCTGGACATAATCAGTGTGCCTATCCATTAATTTCTTTTACTTCTCAGAAGTTTTGTTGTTCATATACAAAAAGTATACATATTCTGTTTGCACCAGGAAAATGTATAAGTTTTATGTCATATGGTCTTTGTTTTGCTTCAGTTGATGTGGTGAATTACATATGTTGCAGCCTTACCTCCTGGGATAAAGCCTACTTGATTGTGATGTATAATTTTTAAAATGTGTAGCTGTATTTTATTTGCTAGGATTTTATCGAGTGTCTTTGCAAATTGGTTGGTTTTGGTATCAGAGTGATATTTGCTTTGTGGGAGTTGGGAGGGTTCCTTCCATCTCAGTGTTTTAGAATAGCTTCTGTGATATAGGTGCAAGCTCTTCTTTCAAGGTTTGGTAGAATTCTGGTGTAAAATCATCTCTTACAGGACTTTTTTTTTGTTGGAAGCATTTTTATTTCAGTTCTTAATTGGTTTTTCAAGTTCAAATTCTTTCTGATTGAGTCTAGGAAGGTGGTGTGACTCCAGGTGTTGGTCCATTTCTTCCACATTTTCAAATTCCTGGGCATAGAATTTTTTTGTAGTAATCAGTGATAATCTTTTTTATCTCTGTGGTATCTGTTATTTCCCCCTTTTCAGACTTTACTTTTTTTCTAGTTAATCTAGCCCAAAGGTTTGTCCATTTTGTTTTTTCAAAGAACCAACTTTTTGCTATGTTAATCTTCTGGATAGTTCTTTTGTTCTTTATTTCATTTAATTTTGCTCTAATTTTGGTTATTTCTTTTCTTCTGCTAGGTTTGGGATTTGATTGCTCTTCCTTTTCCAATTCCTTAGAATGATTCATTAGGTTGTTGATTTGCACTCTTCCTATTTTTTTGGATGTGGGCATTTAAAGTGAAAAATTTTCCTCTTAGGATTTCCTCTTAGGATGCTCTTTTACAGCATCCCACAGGTTTTGATAGCTTGTGGCTTGTTATTTTGTTCAAAGAATCTATAGTGATTTCTTTATCTCCTCCTTGACCCAGTTGTCATACAACATAAGGTTGTTGAGTTTGTGTGACTTACATGAGGATGAAGGCTTTTGTTGGAGTTGAATTCCACTTTTATTCTATTAGGGTCTAAAAAGACACAAGGCTGGGATGATCAAAACAGGATAGCATTGGCATAAAAATAGAGACATAGAACTGTGGAACAGAGTAGGAAACCTAGAGATGTAACCAGCTGCATGTTGCCATCTGATCTTCAATAAATCAAACAAAAGCATACACTGAGGAAAAGAATCCATATTTAATAAATGGTGCTGAGAGAACTGGTTAGCCACATGTAAAAGACTGAAACTGCACTTAGACCTCTGACCACTTACAAAAACTGACTCAGAGTGGATAGAAGTTTCAAATCTAAGAGCTAAATGATAAAAACTCTAGAAGACAGCATAAGATAAGCTTTTTAACAATGTAGGTCTGTGGAGAGATTATTATGAAGAAGGCTCTCTTGGCAACTGCAGCAGCATCAAAATAAATCAAGACAGGACAGGATCAAGATTAAAAACGTCTGCACAGCTAAGGACATAGTAAACAAAGCAAATAGACAACTTTCAGAATGGGAGAAGATACTTGCATGTTATGAATTGGGCAAAGGGCTAATGACCAGAATCTACGGAGAACTTAAAACAAATGAACAAGAAAAAAAGCAAGCAGCCCAAGTAATCACTGGGGAAGAGAAATGAATAGAACCTTCTCCCAGGAAGACAAAAGGATGACCAAAATATACATGAAAAAAAAAATGCTCATTGTCCTTAAGCATCAGAGAAATATAAATCAAAACCCCCTTGAGATATCACCTAACACCAGTGAGAATAGCTCACATCACAAAGTCCCAAAGCTGCAGATGCTGGTGAGGGTGCAGAGAGAAGGGAACACTTACATGCTTTGGTGGGATTGCAAACTAATAAAGAAAGAAGTTATGGGGAATCCTCAAAGACCTAAAAGTAGACCTTCCATTTGATCCTATAATCCCATTACTAGGTATCTACTCAGAAGGAAAAAAAAAAATCATTTTACCATAAAGACATTTGCAAAAAATGTCAAAAAAAATTTTTTTTTGAGTCAGTCACTTTGTTGCCCTTAATAGAGTGCTATGGTGTCATAGCTCACAGCAACCTCAAACTCTTGGGCTGAAGCAATTCTCTTGCCTAAGCTTTCTGAGTAGCTGGGACAACAGGTGCCCTCCACAATGCCTGGATATATTTTTTTTTAGAGACAAGGTCTCACTCTTGCTCAGGTTGGTCTCAAACCCATGAACTCAGGCAGTCCACTCATCTTGGCCTCCCAGAGTGCTAGGATCACCTTGCCTGGCCTGTTTATAGCAGCTCAATTCACAGTTGCCAAGATGTAGAAACAGTCCAAGTACACATCAACCCATGAATGGATTGATACACTGTGGTAAGTATATACAATGGAATACTATTCAGCCATAAAAAGCTGGAGACTTTACATCTTCTGTGGAGTTGAAGGACGTTCTCCTTAGTAAAGTATCTCACGGATGGAAAAACAAGCATCCCATGTCCTCAATACTAATTTGAAACTAGTAGATGAACAGTCACAGGCCCACATGAGAGGAAAAACACAATTAAATTCAAGAAGGGGGGAGGGAATGGGGCTCAGTAAATTCCCCCCTAATAATTGCAACATAGAGGTATATGGCACACCTCCAGGGTAAAGGACTCAAATATAGCTTGGACTTTTCTTAACAAATGCAAACAATGTAACCTAGTATGTACCCTGATATTAATCTTAAATAATAAAAAAAGTTGTATAAATAAATAAATGATTGAGGTATTTTGGTCCTATTTAAGAGACAGGTATTCTTGTTTTCATTTTCCTTCTAAAATCTGTTCCCTCTCACTTCATAATGCTGTTATGTTATTCTTGAAGGTCTTTTAGCCAGGTATTCAAGTTAAATAAAAATACTAGATTTTTCCTGGGAATTTTTCATTGTTGAATGGTATTATGTATCTTCTGCTTTTTTTTTTTTTCTTCACATTTCCTTCTCTTGTGGACAAGGTGCCTGTAATGACTTAATGTTTGATTGGTGATGCCAATAATTCTTCAGCATTGGGAATTTCTAATGTATAGAGATATTATATGTATGTAAAAATAAATTCTGTTTATGGAAAGAATTCAATTCTTCTCTAGTAGAAATAATTCTAGGAAAATATTGGCTTTGCTTGCACTAAGGTCACTGGCTCTTTGTAACTCTGTAGGGGTGTGTGTGCTGAACGGATAGTGTAATGCTGTAGTCTTGTCTAAATACCAGGGCTATTTTTTTTTCTATTTAAAGTAAATCCTTTCCTATAATATTAAAAATGTATGTACCTCATTAGCCATCAGGAAAATGTAGATCAAAATCACAATAAGATTCTGCTTCATATCCACTAAGGTAGCTAAAATAAAAAAGATAGTAGTATTCAAGATGAAGAAATTGGAACCCTCTATACATTGCTGGATGGAGCCACTGAAGAAAAGTTTGGTAGTTAACTTATCAAAAGTCTAAATATAGAGTTACCATATCACCTAACAATCTCCCGCCTAGATAGATACTCAAGAAAAATAAAAACATGTATTCATACATAAACATGAATGTGCATATCTATATTATTTACAGTAACCCCAAAATGGAAACAACCTAAATGTCAGTCAAATGAATGTACAAACAAAATGTCGTATATTTGTGCAGTCGAATATTATTTGGCAGTAAAAAGAAATGAAATACTGATACATGCTACACAAAAATGAATGGAAAATATTGTGACAGTTATAAAAAACTACTTTATTTGATCTTAATAGAAAATGTGCAGAATCAGCAAGTAGAAGAGTGGTTCTTTAGTAATGGAGGGGTTGGAGGGAGATGGGGCCTGAGTGCTTATGAGTATGTTATTTCTTTGGTGGTGTCCATGAAAATGTTCTAAATTACATAGTAGTGATGGTTGCACATCCAAAAATCACTAAATTGTACACTGAAAAGGTGAATTGTATATGTGAATTTTTTTAAAGCTGTTATTGAAGAAGTGTACGTGGGTAATTACTAAAGTTTTGAGATTTGCAAAAATCAAGAAACATAAAATCCAAGTGAAGCCCTTCCACCAACACCAATAAGCCGAGCAAGTTAAACTTGCACGGATGAATCAGAAGAGACACTGTTGACTGTGTTCTTAGAGTGGAAATAATGGACCATAACACACATTGTCTCAAAACTTACAGATACAGTTGACCCTTGAGCGTTGTGGAGAGTTAGGGGCAGGGACTCCCCTCAAAGCTGAAAGTTCAAGTATAACTTTTGACTCCTTCAAAATGTAACTTTCAATAGGCTGCTGTTGCCTGGAAGCCTTACTGATAACCTGAACAGTAAATCGCCATGTGTTTTGTGTATTATATGTATTACATACTGTATTCTTTTCTTTTTCTTGACCATGGCTCACTGAGTTATAATATATATTGTATTCTTATAACAAAGTAAACTAGAGAAAAGAAACAGTTACTGAGAAAATAGGTTTTTACTATTAACTAAGTGAAAGTGAGTCATTTTGATACTGAATAGGCTGAGGAGGAGAAAGAAGTGATCTTGATACCTCAGGCTGGCAGAAGCAGAGGAAAACACAAGCACAAGTAGACCCATTCGGTTCAGACCCTAAGGGCCAACTAGATACAGATACATTTGCTTCCATGAGCAAGTATATTTCCATTAGTCATCAGAATTTTTTTCTGGCTTTGGTTTTATCCAAATTATCTCTGGACTTATACACTTCGGTTACTTGTGTGAAGGAGAGCTATTTCCTATGGGGACAGGGCTGGGATGGGGAGTTTTACTAAATATCCTTTCATGTGTATTGAATTTCATGCTCTGTGATTGATTGTATTACCTGACATGCAAATACATAAAGGTTAAATAATGACATATTAATAGCTCCTCTCAATTTTACTATGCCCAGGTCCTTCAAGGGTTAGATTATCTACACAGTAAGTGCAAGATTATTCATACTGACATAAAGCCAGAAAACATCTTGATGTGTGTGGACGATGCCTATGTGAGAAGAATGGCAGCCGAGGCCACCGAGTGGCAGAAAGCAGGTGCTCCTCCCCCGTCGGGGTCTGCAGGTGAGGCAGCCGAGCCAGCTCGTTTCAGTCTGTTTGGGAGCATTGTAATTGTTTACAGAGTTGCACGCTGGAGGCAACTGAGTCAAGTGTGTGTATGTGAGAGCTTTTTATAAGAGATTGGCTGTTGGCCGGGCATGGTGGCTCACACCTGTAATCCTCGGGTGCTGGGAGGCTGAGGAGGATAGATAGCTTGAGCTCAGGAGTTCCAGACCAGCCTGAGCAAGAGGGAGACCCCATCTCTAAAAAGTAGCCAGGCGTTGTGGTGGGCGCCTGTAGTCCCAGGTACTCAGGAAGCTGAGGCAAAAGGATCTCTTTAGCCCGGGAGTTTGAGGTTGCTGTGAGCTCTGACACCAAGGCACTCTACCAAGGACAGCAAAGTGATACTCTGTTTCAAAAAGAAAAAAAAGATTGGTTTTTGGAAATACCTGCACCTTTTTCTTGAGAAGGAAGATACCCTGATTCAATTATGTTTTAATATTTGAATTTTTTACCTTTGTCCTCTCTTAAAAGGATTTTTAAATTCTTAGCTCTTGCTTTTTCGATACATATTTGTAATTTCAGATTAATGTGAGGGCTTAAACAATTAGGCTATAATGTTAGCATTTGTTAGGAAGAGTCCCTGTTGTAGTTGTGTCCCACACCCAGAAGGTGTGCCATACACCCTCACATTGTACTCATTTTGCTTCATCTATATTTGAACATTTCTTGTGTCGCCAACTTCTCTGTAGCGGAGAATATAGTAATGGGTTTCTTATAGCCAACCTTTAGTCATCAGAATTTTTTTTCTGGCTTTATTTTTATCAGAATGATTCCTACTCTCCATTTAGCACAACTTTATCAATCTGTGGCAACTAGTACTTTTGGAATTGTTCACAAAAGACCTGAGGCTCAGGGAAGAAGACCAAGCAACTTGAGTATTGGCCCGTCTGTTGTCCTTCCAGCAGTAGCCGTGAAGTGTGGATGTGTCCAACTCTTCCACTTTGTGCCCCTGTAGGTCATCGGGCACGTGTACAGGCGAAGGGCTGAGACTCCTGGGTCCTCTCCAGATCTTGTTTACTACCAGCCAGGTGTTCCGATCAAGCTTGGGGTGCTGGCGGGGTCGGATCACATGACTGTAGACTACTTGTTGCAGTGTTAAATTTAGTTCAGTTGTGTGTACATCTAACACAAATTGTTCACTTTATTATGTGTAAAACAGTTTGGTTTAATGACTATAGGATATTTGTGGCCCCTTCTTCATTATCTTAAGTTAAAAGTCAGTGCTCAGATTAACTTTTTGAGAAGTATTAGTATTTAATTTTAGATTAGTAAGAGAAATGGCTCAATATGAATAACTTCCATTATGACTTTTAAGAGTGAGTCATTTGTTTGAGTTGAGTAAACTTTCTCAAGATCCCTATGATTAAGAAGCTCTGATGATTAAGTTTTTGAAGTTGGGTACCCATTAAAAGACAGTTATTATTTTACTTTGCAATTCAAATTACCTACATAATGATATGTGTCTTTCCTCTACCCATTTTGTTTTATTTTATTTTAGTGAGTACAGCTCCACAACAAAAACCTGTAAGTACTTATACTTATATTCACTGTGTAAAAAGGGACTATTCATTATTGAGATTTTCAAATAATAACAGATGTTCTAATGTATGTTAATTTAAAAGATAGACATGTTTATAAATGCTGTGCATCCTCAAATAATAAAGACTTACTGTTTTGTTCAGTTGAAGTAATTTTTACAGAACTTATAAAAAGATCAATCTTCCTTATGTATTTTCTGGAGTGCTATGGGCCAAGACTGGTGAAATGTGAGGTCATGGAGGGTTTGAAGTATAATTGTTCCAAAACCACTTTACATTATTTCTGATTGACTTCTGGGTTCCCTGTATTTCTGAAGCTATTATAGTATTTTCTAGCCAGTTGTTAAATATGAAAGAGTCATCTATCTTGTGGTCCTGTTAAAACATTACCACCAATAAGACAAGCCCAGTGGAAGGAAGCTCCAGAACAAGGGAGCTGTAATACCTGGGCTTCCTGGCCTGCGGAGGAGCCCAAGTGTCTCCCATAGTTCTGCCTCATCCTAAGGCACTTGAGTTTGCTGAGCATCTGACAGATGGGAAGGGCTCACTGGCAGCATTTTCCTAGTCAGATGGCCATGACTGGGGGCAGACAAAAGCTTTGGCTTTTTCTTTTTTCTCCCTTTATTTCATATGCTCGTTTCTTAGAGTTACTGTTGTCTTAACTGTTGATAACAGCTCAATGTGAGAGACCTGAACACCAACAGTGCTGTTGAGCAACAAAAAATACACCTGCTGTGGGAGTTCTTTCTTGGTGAGGGAGGAAGAGATGAGATGATGTTACTCGGCAGATAGATGTACCAAGTAACTTCTTGTTTAAAGCCAAGTGTATTTCAAGATACTCAGTTCTTTTAGAACTGGCGAAAACTTACTGGATTTAAGCTTTATCCCTCTGAGGGCTGTATACCTGGTAGTAGACCCAGCATGTAATACATGATATTAGCCAGCACCAATTTCCCTTTTTATTTCTTTTTTGTTTGTTGTTGGTATTGTTTTACTATAACCCGTGTTTGGGTTTATGATTTTAATTAAATGACATGAAAAAACAGAGTTTATTGGTATTTATCGTGCTGCCAGAACTACTTGTACTATTGTGTGGTGTTTTGAAAAGAAGCAAACTGACCTGTGGTGTTTTCTTAACATATTATAGATAGGAAAAATATCTAAAAACAAAAAGAAAAAACTGAAAAAGAAACAGAAGAGGCAGGCAGAGTTATTGGAAAAACGCCTGCAAGAGATAGAAGAATTGGAACGAGAAGCTGAAAGGAAAATAATAGAAGAAAACATCACCTCAGGTGTGCCTTCCAACGAGCAGGACGGTGAATACTGCCCGGAGGTGAAGCTAAAAGCAGCAGGATTAGAGGAGGCAGCAGAGGCAGAGACTGCGAAGGACAATGGTCAGTTTGGTCAGGGGTCCGGGGATGCCATTGAAGGGGACCTGCCACATCACCACAGGGATTGGCTTTGTGCTGCCGTTTCAGGAGGCGAGGGTGATTTTTTCCAACTCCCTGTTTTGGAATGTGGGGTGGGAACTATATGCCAGAAATATGTTAACATTTCAAAATACCTTTTTTTTTTTTTTTTTTGGAGACAGAGTCTCAGTCTGTCATCGTTGGTAGAGTGCTATGACATCCTAGCTCACAGCAACCTCAAACTCTTGAGCTCAAGTGATCCTCTTTCCTTAGCCTCCCAAGTAGCTGGGTCAACAGGTGCCTGCCACAATGCCTGGATATATTTAGAGAGGGGGTCTTGCTTTTGCTCAGGCTGGTCTTGAACTCCCAAGCTCAAACAGTCCATCCTCCTCAGTCTCCCAGAGTGCTAGGATTATAGGCCCATTATAGGTTGAGCTTGTTACTATCCTTAATGCAGTGACACTAGGTCGCCAGCCTCAAAATAATTTTTTTTTTAAATGCAAAATGTCTGAGAAATAGTGTATTCTGTCATGCTTATGATAGTCCTTTATTTTGTGATTAACCTTTTACCTAATTATATTGTACCACTCACCTTTTTTCTGAAGATTGCCGAGAAGGTAGAAATGGAGGTGCAATTTTATTTGTACCTACTTACCCCAAAAGCTAACTTTTCTCATGCGTAGGCCAATTATTAAATACATGAAAAATGAGATGTAGAAAACTTTTATCCTGAGAGCCAAGAGGGGTTTAGTATGAGGTAAATAAGCCATTCATGATATATCTTGTCAAAGGAATTAGGACCTATTGTCACTGCATTAAGGATAGTAACAAGTTCTAATTCTTAACCATCCACTTTTTAAGGTGAAGTTGAGGACCAGGAAGAGAAAGAAGATGCCGAGAAAGAAAACATTGAGAAAGATGAAGATGACGTTGAGCAGGAACTCGCGAACCTAGACCCTGCATGGATAGAATCCCCGAAAACCAACGGTCATATTGAGAATGGCCCGTTCTTACTGGAGCAGCAGTTAGATGATGAAGAGGATGATGAAGATGACTGCCCAAATCCTGAGGAATATAACCTTGATGAGCCAAATGCAGAAAGCGATTACACGTATAGCAGCTCCTATGAACAATTCAATGGTGAATTGCCAAATGGACGACATAAAATTTCTGAGTCACAGTTTCCAGAGTTTTCCACCTCCTTGTTCTCTGGGTCCTTGGAACCTGTGGCTTGCGGCTCTGTTCTTTCTGAGGGATCCCCACTTACTGAGCCAGAGGAAAGCAGTCCATCCCACGACAGAAGCAGGACAGTGTCAGCTTCCAGTACTGGAGAGTTGCCAAAAAGTAAGTTCCTTCCCATCAGCTGTCTGCTTCCAGGGTCATGCTTTTGACAGATGCCGTGGGAGGGAGTGGCTATATATGTGTGCACTGATCATTTTCATTTTATGACTTTTATATTCATGAAGAAGTGATGTGATTTAAAGATATGTTCTGTGCCAGAAGTCTTTCTCTCACTCTGTGCATATCCAATCTCATTTCATCATTCCTTTTCTCATTCCTTCTATATTTAGTCAGTAATATTAAACATTTGCAAAAACCTTCTAGCTCCAACAGTGTACACCTTGTAGCTTTCTAGAATGTGGAGTTTAGTTTATAATTTGTATCTTCCCATCTGATAGCATTACATTTAGTTTTTGTTTGTTTTGTTTCTATTTCAGAGAAAATATACCTGCTTTTTGGCTCTAGTGAGAAAGAAGTTTCCTATTTTCTTCTGATAGTTGTTCCTGATTATAAAACCTTGCTATAGATAAGTGCCTTAGGATTATGATTTTAAAGAAAGTAGCATGGATTGAAGTGTAATGACAGATTGTAGAGTGGATCTTGTGTTCTTGTCTGGGAAGACCCTGACTTAACTTCAAACCTTATTTTGGAAGTGAATGTCAAGTGACTTCAGTAAGTGAAAATTGGGTGTCACAGTTGGTTTCCATTCTGGCCTATGGTGGAAAAGCTCAGAAACCTCCTCTGCTCCCTCTACTGACAAGATCGTTCAAGACACGCAAAGCAGCTCATGAGCCTGCCCTGCAGACAGCCCAGCCCAAGCCATTCTTGCACTCCCTTTCCTTCCAGCAGGCTGGCAGTTGCATCCTGATATGTGAACTGGTTTTGTTATGTGCTGGCTATAAACAGTCATCCTAAGGATGTGTTTCCTGACTTGGCCAGACATGGTCAACTCCTTTTCCCCTTTCCCCTGGCCAGGGAGGGTTTGAAAGTTTGTATATGGTTTCACTTAGAATGTAGGTTCTTTCCTAGGAAAAGAGCAGTAGTGAAATGTACCTTCTCCAGACTGTTGTTGCTGTTGCACCTCAGTTTTTACTTAACTTACAGATAGATAAAGATAGATACAGGAAGTAGTTTATAAATTGTCTTTGGGTTTTTGAAAAGGGCAATAAAATGGATAAACCTTTGGCTAACCTAAGCAGGAAAAAAAAGAGTAAAATCTCTAATTCCATCAATCAGAAATGGTAAAGACTAAATAGCAACAGACCCCTCAGAAATTCAGAAAATCCTTAATGAATATTACAAGAAACTTTATTCTCAGAAATATGAAAATCTGAAGGAAATTGACCAATACTTGGAAGCCTTTTTAATTCACTTTTATTCATGTTTACTTTGCAAGTAGTAGCTTGGAACAGTGGCTTCAGATATATTCAGCCCTGCATATCTGTGTATTTCACATCCAAATCTGTGGATTTAGCCAATTTTGGATCAGAAATATTCAGGAGGACAAAAACCTCTGTGTGTCTGAACATGTACAGACTTGTTTTCCTTGTCATTATTCTCTAAACAATACAGCATAAGAACTATTTACATTGTATTAGGTATCAAGGTACAGAAGTTTAAGCATCTGTGGATTTTGGTATTCTTGGGAGGTCCTGGAACCAGTGCCCCTTTGAATAACAAGGGAAAACTATATATCAGATTAAATCCCAGCTCAAAACTTAATAGTCATGGAACTTTGGTGGTTTTTGTTGTTGTTGTTGTTGTTGTTGTTGTTGTTGTTGTTGTTTTTTGAGGCAGTTTTACACTGTCCTCCTCAGTAGAGTGCCAGGCATCATAGCTCACAGCAACCTCAAACTCTTGTGCTCAGTAATCTTCTTTCCTAACCCTGCCAAGTAGCTTAGACTGTAGGTACCCACCACAACACCTGGCTAGTTTTTCTATTTTTAGTAGAGCTGGGAGCTCATGCTCTTGCTCAGGCTGGTCTTGAACTCCTGAGCTCACGCAATCCACTCACGTCAGCCTCCCAGAGTGCTGGGATCATAGGCGTGAGCTACCGTGCCTGGCCCAGAACTTTGGTTTCTTAACCTCCCTGAACTTTTCTCTATGAAAGGAAATATTTTTAGCATGGAATCAATAAAGTAAATGATTTAGATAGAGAAATAATAATGTGAAATATAATATAACAACATATGACAAACTTCTCAGGGACTATAAGTTATCTTGGTTATCACAAACCCTTGGCAAGGGAGCATAATTGCTGCTTCTGTTACCTTGTTGTGAAGATCTAAGGCCCGGCAAGTGCTAAGGCTTGTTTGACACAGTCACTGGCCTTGTAACTCGTCGATCCTGAGTCCAGGCCTGATTTCTGCTCCTGTTCTGTCCATCGCATCGTAAATTCACCTTGCGAAGGGGCAGGGGTAGGTAGGTATAGGCTTACATCTGGAAAGAGATATGAGGAAGAGAAGTAGAAGGAAGCTTAGTTTGAGGCCCTGCCAGACCCACTCTGTCCGTCCACTCCTCTGGACTTTGCTTAGTCTGCTTCAGGTGTCTTGACTGTCCTCAGTCCATTTCTTAGAGTCGCACTCAGGTCTCTCCTGGACTGATGTGAGCCTGCCCATGAGGGCCCCTCAAGGGCCAAATCCTCAGTCACTCTCAGCTGCTGTGCTAGATACCCTCAGTGTGCTGTGAGGACTGAGAACATAGCAGTCAACAAGAGCCACTGGGGGAGCTTACGTTCCCACCTGGGTAGGCGCCTGCTAAGCCTGGTGAGGATGATGTCCTATGGCAGAGGCTGCTTTAAATTCCCTCTGGAAGGTGACATGGTAGCATTTAATCAGAGACCTGAAAGAGGTGAGGAAGTTCAAACTCCAAGGACAGCACATTCCTGGTGGAGGAATCCCTTGTTCAGTTCTCCTGTCTCCAGGTTTAGTGGTCAACCTCTTCACGGGACAGCTGCATCTGTGTCACAAGGGGAACCTCAGACCTGACATTTCCAAACCCAAGTCCCACTTTCCCTGCCCACCTGCTAAACATGCTGTGTTATCTATACTGGCTAGCACCATCTCCCGTTGTCCCGTGAGACACTTGGTCATGCTGTGCCACTGGCTTTTCACTTGCATCCAGCGGGTTACCACGTCCTTCCAGTAGGGTTCTCCTTGCCTAGCTGGAAAGTGGGCATTGTCGCTGCTTCCTCATCTTATTAGGCAGACTCTTTGCTGGCCTCAGCTTTGTGTTCTCTCCTGCTTTCGTCCACACCTGCTTTTCACATTGCTTTTCCACGTTGCTGCTAGAATGTTTTTGAAATTTGCTAATCACACCTGTCTGTTCTTCTGCTTGCAGTTTTCACAGCCCACGATCTAGTGCAGTGGTCTCCACAGTGGAATATATGCGCCGCATCCCTGCGTAAGCAGCACCACCCTGTGTGTGATGGGACGAGAAGTATTAGAACACAGACTGTCTCTGTACTGTTTTTCAGTTTGATGAACAGTACAGTGAACAACTGTGTATCTTCCAAGTAGATTTAACAATTAACATTTTGCCAATTATACAGACACTGTATGCTATAGCTATAGAACACTTCACTCCTAAATACATAAGCATTCATCTTCTGAGAGATGAATTATGGCATTCTCTGTCATAACAATAATATGTAAGAATATTAGTAATTTTATACCATAGTCTGTTATTTATTCATACCGAATGTCCTCAGCTGTCCTCATGTTTTTCTTTTTTCTGACCCAGAGTATGATAAGCATGGTGTCCTGCCTCCTGGTGGGGCCTCCTGTGTCCTCCCCGGCTAGAGCGCCCCCTCCTCCTCGTGGTCGTGCCTGCCTTACTGTATCATCACTGCTCGTGCCCAGTCTCTTTCTCCTCGCTGGAGTGTAAACTTTCTGAGAGAGCAGTATGCTTTTATTTTTTGTATCCTCAGCATCTGACTTGGTCCTAAGATAAGCATTTATTAACTATGAATAAACAAATGAGTGACATCTGCTTACATTCTTCTACACTTCCCTTTCTCCTCCCTTTTTATAATCAACATTTTACTGTGTCCAACACACACACCAGCCCCAATACCTGTTGCATCAGATAGAAATAGGAGGTTTCATTTCATTTTGTTTTTTTACTGATCCTAGCTTTTTACCAAGCAGGCCTTTTTCATATTGTTAAATTCTTGGGACACAGCAGGGATGGGATCTCCTTTTCTAGTCATTTGTTTGGAGTCCCTCCATTTTGGCTTCCACTGTGGTTGGTCGTCTGATTACCAGGGGCAGCCTCCCTGTAGGGGGTGTTTTTTAGTCTCCTATACGGAATGGGTACAGCCCACTGGCTTGCAGTTGGCCACCTAGTACCATATGGACGCAAGGCAAGAAAAAGTCTTTGTTAAGAAGATTGTGGCTCCTTGTCAGTAGAGCAAAATGTACATGTTAGGGAATAGTAGACAAAAGCTTGGGGCCAGAATGAGAAGATGGAAGAACTTGAATGCCAGGCATTCAATGTAGATTTTTTTCTAGAGTAATTTGGCAGCCATTGAAGATTGAGAAGAGGAGTCAGGGTTCCTCCTAGATTATTAACTCATAGAACCATAGCACCTATCGTGGCTCATCACATCTAAAGGACAGAGGCCCTGGAGCAGTGGTCTTGCTGGTTTGTTTGCAGGGCTCATTGAGTCTTTTCACATCCCTGGTGTGACCCAGGTTGCTGGCAGTCCCTGCCTGCTGCTCTGATAAAGCCTCCATGTTCATATCACTTCAGCTCTGCTCCTCCAGTCTGTTCTCTGTCTTGGAGCTCAAAAAGATCTTCTAAAAGGATATTCCACCATCTTCCCTTTCCCCCTTACAAGAGGATCTCCACTGTATATTCTTTACATAGAGTGATGCCCTGGGACTCCCTCACTGAAGCCAACCAGCTAACTCTCCAGTCTGTTCCCTGGCAGCTCTCTGCTGTCATCTGCTCTCTCATCCCCTCTCTGTTCCCCTGGCTCATTCTGCGTATTCACTGAGACTTCTTTCTAAAGTTTCTCAAAATAGGCCAGGTGTAGTGGCTCACGCCTATAATCCTAGTACTCTGTGAGGCCAAAATGAGTGGATCACCTGAGCTCAGGAGTTCAAGACCATACTGAACTAGCAAGACCCCCCTCTACTAAAAATAGGAAAACTAGCAGGGTGTTGTGGTGGGTGCCTATAGTCCCAGCTACTTAAGAGGCTTGAGCCTAAGAATTTGAGGTTGCTGTGAGCTATGACGCAACAGCACTATACCACGGGTGACAAAGTGAGACTCTGTCTTAGAAAAAGTAGATCAATAACGTTTCTCAAAATCGAGAGCTCGTTTCTGCCGCAGGGCCTTTGTCCTTCCTGTCCCCTTAGACTAGGACTTCTCTCACTCCCTGCCTTCCTTTATTCAGGCCTCTCCTTGAACATCACTTTCTCTGAAAAGACCTTCCTTGAACCACCCTCATTGCTATCCATTTCCTTTTCTTGCTTTGTTTTTCTTCATAGCATTTGTAACTACCTGATACGGTGTATGGATTCCTCATTTAATTTATTGCCCATATTTCCAACTATTAAATGAGTTTCCTGATTTGGGATTCGTTTTCTTCATGCTGTGTTCCCTGTGCTTGGCACATAGAAGGGAGTCAGTGATTATTTGTTGAATGGCTAGATTGGGGGTTGGCATTAAATCTCCTAGTTCTGTTACTACTTCCTTGGGCCTAGTGCTGAACCTCCTCCGTATGGAGAGGATAGTCATGCCTTTTTGTAAGGACATTTTATAATGTGAAGTTAGCGTGTGCCTAGCACAGTACCTTGTGCACTTGTGGATGGCAGCTGTCTCTTCACAGTGAGGCATTGCTGGCTGTTACCTTACTGGTTTCTAGGTGAGTGTCACATGGAATAAATGACCACATTGTCACCCAGAAAGTGACTGCAGTGCTCTATCTCTTTCTGAAATGAAATCTTCTCACTTATTCCCTTCTTAGTATGATATGGAGAGTGCAGTTGCCAGCTTTTCATTTTGGTAAGATGGCTACAACTTGTCCTTTGTGTCACCAATAGCCATGAGAAGGAAAAGCTGTGACAGGTTACCACAGGGGTGACCTAATCAGAGGAGGTGCAAAGCAAAATTGAAATGATTATGCACATGCAGCAAACAAGTGTCAGGTACTCCAGTCTTGAGAAAACACAGTCAGAAAAAAACAGAATCTCTTACCTCCTGTTGTGTTCTTACATAATTCAGTTATTGAGATAAATTGTCTCGTATCACTTGGAACACATTGTAAGCTGGGTAACTATTTATAGATCTGAAACAGGAGGATAGCAGTATATCACCAAAGAGATTTTGTTTAGTGAACATAAATGAGGAATATTAAAAATACAAAAGAACTATATTTAAATGTGTAGTGACGTGTCTTTGAAAGTGTATTTCTTCTAGTTTAATTGAATTATGCAGCTGCTGGGAGGTGTTTTTAAAAACAGCTCAGTGGCTCAGCCTGTAAGCCTAATAACTCTGGGAGGTTGAGGTGGGTGGATTGCCTGAGCTCTCAGGTTCAGTCCTGAGCCAGAGCAAGACTCCGTCTCTAAAAATAGCCGGGCATTGTGACGGGAACTTGTAGTCCCAGCTACTCTGGAGCCCGAGGCAAGACAATCTCTTAAGCTCAAGAGTTTGAGGTTGCTGTGAGCTGTTTTGCCATGGCACTCTACTGAGGGCAACAAGGTGAGACTCTGTCTCAAAAAATAAAATAAAAACAACTCAGAGTGGGTGGCAGATTATAGATTACCTCCCTCCACTTGAGTACCCTCAGATAACAGACAACTCACAATTACTCAGGGAGGAAAAAGAATCATTCCAATGGTTTGGGAGGCCCACGGTGTATCCAACGTGGCTTCCTTCCCTTCCCTCATTGGACCTGTGATCTGAAGTGTTCGGAGAGATGGGACTCACACTTGGGTTTCCCCTTCACTGTCTGTTCTCTGGTCTCAAACTCACCAGTTAGAGGGAGCCCCAGACCTCAGAGGGAGCTCAGCTGATCATAGCAGAATGCAGCCCCTGGATCTAGCCCACCAGCCAGGTGCTGTACCAGCTCTCCTGTGTTCGGATTGTGGTTTGTTTCTTTTCCTGAAAACTGACTCTGAAAAATTTGTCATTTGTCAGGCTTATAACTTATAGGTGTTGAAACTTATTTATTTATTTATTTATTTATTTTGAGAGTCTCACTTGTTGCCCTTGGTAAAGTATCCTGGTGTCACAGCTCACAGCAACCTCAAACTCTTGGGTTTAAGTGATCTTGTCTCAGCCTCCCAAGTGGCTGGGACTATAGGTGCCTGCCACAACACCTGGCTATTTTTAGAGATGGGGTCTCACTCTTGATCAGGCTGGTCTTGAACCTGTGAGCTCAGCAATCCACCTGCCTTGGCCTCCCAGAGTGCTCGGATTACAGGAATGAGCCCCTCTACCTGGCCAGGGTTGAAACTTATATTTGAATCTACGTTCTGTAAACCTCAAATTCCATTTTTTTTTCTGCTGATTCTAGTCACTCCTAGTCACTCCTAGTGTTGTCCTGTCGGTCAGCCTGGTTATGTTTATCCCGCATCTGTTCTCAGCTGCATGTGTATCCATGCATGTGTTTTGCCTCCTTTTGTGTTCTGTGCTGCTTTCTTTTCCATCATTTTCTGGGTTCCTGTGTTTCTTATCCTGAGTTCTTACCTGGATTTTGGTCAGACGCCACCCACCATAAAGATCACCATCTGTATAAAGAGGGAAGCAGGTCTATGGAAGGTATTAAGATGGGAACACCTGTGCCCAGCTGGCTCAGGTTGATCCACAAGCCTGAGGAATGTCTCAGGTATGAGCCAGAATTCTCCTTGCATCCTCAGGAACTCTGTGTGTGCCCTGGGGGGACCTGCCTGCTCTCCTACCTGCTAACCTAAGTACGGCTGGCCTTCCTGCCTGGCTGGGCTGTGCTGCTGAGCTTCCTCACACACTGTGAGTCTATAGTTCAGGTGGACCCAAAAAGACATTTAGTTCATTTTAGTAGTACCCAGCTTTGAGCAAACAAAGGGCTATCCAAGGTAGATGTTTAATGTTCTGCATTGATATGTTCTGTGCAGTTTATAAACACCATTTCTAAATTACTTCTAAAATAAAAGCTATAGGTTATATTCCATCCTCACCAAAAATCTGAGCTTGTAGGTAGGTCAGTTTGAGATTGATGATGAAGATGCTGACTTCAGGACTACCTGTTTGGACTTCGCGAAGTTATTTTTCTTTGTTACTTGCCTCCTGGTTAACTGTGTTTGTTACAGGAGTAATCCAGATGTGCGCAACATGCTCTGACCCCCGAAAGCCCTGGGAAGCTTGGCCCTATGCCTGCCTTTGAGATTCCCTTGAAATCACCCTGGAATTGAGAAATGACAAGTTTATGAGTGAACTCAAAAGGTTGCCATGTGGCCCAGGCCATCTCAGGAGACCTCTGCCTCAGCCTTTCTTACCTAAAAAGCAAAACCAGAATAGATTAGTCCCTGCCTTTAATCCATATTTGTTAATCTGCCATCGTGTAGCCCTTGAGATCTGTCTGTTCAGTCCAAGCAGTGGGAGTTGTAGGAGATGAGGAGGTGAGGGTGCCAGGACCCTGTGTTCTGGGCGTCACTAGGAAGCAACCCCCCCCCCCCCGGGTGCATCTTCTTGCCTCTGTGCTTTCTGTAGCAGTGCACCAGTGCACTCGATCTGCCCTGAGGGTCCTCATGTCATGAGGAGCAGCAACAGGGACATGCAAGGCTGGCTTGTTCAGTGCCAGCCAGAGGAGCAGGGATTGAGGTTAAGGAGAAAGGCAGTGACCACGGCGTCCTTTGGGTAGCCCAGTGCGTTTTCTTTTGTGGAATATTTTCCAGAGATGGGAGGAATTTTAGTTCTGTTAAGGCCCATTTACAATGTCCAGGCCTAAGTGATCATAGACCGCTCTTTAGGAGCGGTGACTCTGTTCCAGAAGACTGCTCACACATGGCAGACACTTAGCCAGGTACTAACTGTCCTGCTGTTTGCTCATGCCAGCAAAAACCCGGGCGGCTGACTTGTTGGTGAATCCCCTTGATCCACGGAATGCAGATAAAATTAGAGTAAAAATTGCTGACCTGGGAAATGCTTGCTGGGTGGTAAGTAGAGTTTCTTTCTAAAACATTGTAGTGTGATTCTGTGTGAAAAGACACTTTTTAAATGTTCTGTTCCTCCGTGGTAATAGGCTCTGTTCCCTTCCAGCATAAACACTTCACAGAAGACATCCAGACGCGCCAGTATAGATCCATAGAGGTCTTAATAGGCGCAGGCTACAGCACACCTGCTGACATTTGGAGCACCGCGTGTATGGTAAGAATGGCCTTTGTCATTTTCTTCTAGATGAGTCAGCTCATCCCTTTAGTGCTCTTGATGGGCATCTCCAGAGCACGTGGTCTCAGTTTTTCTGACTGTAAGGATCATCCACTGTGGGCTGGGTGAGGGAAATGTTGATGCTTTGGGTCCCTGAAGAATTCTCATGCACATCCAGGGTTTCTGGGTTGGTTTGGTTTGGTTTTGCGAGAGACGGTCTCTTCTGAAGGCCTTACACAGCCCACAGCTCTAGAAGTCAGACATAGTGACTTGATATTAATCCCTTTTGGTCCCTGAGAGCTTGTAGGTTGTTTAGAGCTCTCCCTTACCTCATGCTGTGGAGGAGGATGAGGCAGTGGTGTCTTGGGAAGGTCTGGCTGAGACTGAGAGGTCAGAGCCCTTCAAGGTGGCCTCTGCCAGGTGAGCCAGACAGGCAGCAGCCTCACCTTCCTGACCAGGGAGGTTCTCCTTAGATATCAGCACTCCCTTTGCTAAGCACCATCCAGAGAATATTTTGGCACATTGTTCTAAGATGTCCAGTCACTTTTGAGGCAGGAGCAGTGACATGTGCTCCCTCTGACTGAGGCAGTTCCCAGAGACAACATTCCAGGGGTACGTGCTGGTGTCCCCCTGGGGACAGCAGGTGCCCCTTCTGTATCATACCTATTGCTGCTTATGGTTTTGCCCATCACACTTGAGTTGTGTCTGAGTTCTTCCAGCCCCACCGGTCATCTTTTGTCATTCCTCTGAATGTGTGACTTGGTGGCATTTCATGATCCCTCACCCAGGAGTTTTAGGTCCCCTGTTTTGGCCTCATGTCTAGCCAATTCAGTGCTTTTCTCTCAGCGGGCTTTACTCTGTTGTTCCATGCTGGAAGGGGTGGGTTGCTGACTGTGGGGTTTCGTGCTTTCCCATCTCCTATCTTCTGTCCACATTCTCCCCTGATTTTTAAAGGGGCCTGTGTGTAAGTCTTACTAGCACATGTCTTCTCACTAAAGAAAAAAGGGGGCAACACAAAATAAATATGTTAATTTTCCAATGTTGAAAGATAAATTTAACTTTTTTTTTTTTTTTTTTTTTTT